TGCTGCTAATGGGACCGAGCCCCTGCCATGTAGAAGGTAAAAGCAAAAAAGCAGGTCAGGAAGAAACAGCCTCCTGCTATGTTGCTTGGTGGGTAAAACTTATAGCAGGAAACCAGCCTGTGAAAAAAGAAGCTAAACATGATAAAACAAAACTGGCTGTCTATCAGTAAACTGTGCAGTAACTAAAGAATAGATGTCTGTCAATTAAGATGGTCCAAATATGTGTAGTTAAATCTTTTTTGCATGGTTAATAACATCTTTCCAATGATTACTCAGTTTGTACCCATCATCACGGTTGAAATTATGTCTGTGTTTGTATATTTGTATGGCTTCGTGTACAAACCTTTGATGGTAGCCAGGAGGTTTGCAGAGCACACAGAGTTGTAGCAATGATCGGCAACGGCGGAAGACTCAGTTCTGCCGTGTTTCAGATCTGACTTGTGCTCGCGGACACGATCAGAGGCATGACATTTCGTTTCTCCAATGTAGCAATCACCACAACTGCAGCTCAGTTTGTAGACTCCAGGGTACTGTAAGTCAGGAACGACATCTATCACAGATGGAATCAGATCACGGATTGTATGCACTGTACTGAATCGGACTTGGATCTTATGTTTGTTTAGAATTTTGGAAATCTTTTTTGGTCACGCCTGCTATGTATGGCAACGTGATAGTTTTGATCGGAATTTCATGTGGCTGTTTCTGTATGGTGGGAGAAACAGCTTGGTGGATGGTGCGGTCAGAGTATCCGTTCATCCTGAGGGCCCGATGTACATGTCTTAATTCACTGGCCAGGTGGTGTTGGTCAGAAATGCCATGAGCTCTGTGGTATATCGTTTTGATGAGATAATTCTTTTGAGATGGGTGGTGGTGGGAATCAGGTTTCAAGTAGGAATCTGTGTGGGTGTCTTTCCTGTAGACAGAATGTCCCAAGGATCCGTCAGGTCTCCTCACAAACAGAATATCTAAGAATGGTAGTTTACCATCTTTCTCCACTTCCATGGTGAATCTGATGGATGGGTGTCTGGAATTGATGTGGTCCAAGAAGTGGTTCAATGCTGGGAGGCCATGTGGCCAAATGACGAAAGTGTCATCCACATACCTCTTCCACAGGGAAGGACGTAGGGTAGATGTCTGGATCGCGTCTGATTCAAACTTTTCCATGAACATGTTGGCTATCACTGGTGACAAGGGGGAGCCCATAGGGGTACCCTCATTCTGTTTGTAGAAGGTGCCATTCCAGGTAAAATAAGTGTTGGTGAGGCAATGCCTAACCAGCGCAGGTACATCCGAATTCAATCCATGTTGGACCAAGTCCTCAATTATTGTTAGGGTATCAGGCACTGGGACTTTGGTAAACAGAGATACTACAAAACTGACGAGGATCTCATCAGGAGATAGTACCATGTCCTTGACCATAGAGACGAATTGGGTTGAGTTGAGTACTGCTGAAGAGGTCTTGCCTGTAAAGGGAAGCAGAGTATCTGATAGAAACCGGGCTAGTTTGTAGGTAGGAGAGTTGATCGTCGACACGATGGGTCGTAGCGGGGTGCCTTCTTTATGGATCTTGGGAAGACCATAGAGTCTGGGAGGTCTTGCCGCCGATGGTTTTAGAGAGGGACGTTTAGTTGGTTCGATTAGGGAAGTCGAACTCATGATGATTTTGTTAGTTTTTGTCGTTAGGCTGTTAGTAGGATCGTTTTTAATTTTGGAGTAACTCCCATCATTAAGTAGGTCCAGGATTTTGTTGTTGTATGAATCTTTATCCATGATGACCGTGGCATTGCCTTTGTCTGCCGAGAGGATGACTATATCATCTCTCTTTTTTAGGTCAGCGAGTGATGTTGGGATCTGAACTCGATATTTTAGACAAGACTCTCTTACAAACACATTTAATGTTAACACAAAAAATGTCCCCTTCCGATTGGAACCACGTTGATTACATGACTTCTGCTGACTCAATGTCAGCCAAATGCAAAGCTAACCTGATTTCTAAATTCAACCTCCTATCTAAGAAGAAATCAGAGTCACACATCGCAAAGCTGGATGTCAACAAGACCGTTATTAATCAGAGTAACATCCCAATTTCTGACAATCTGAAAACGGTACTGGCCAAAGGACTAAATTTCGCTGTCACCCCTAAATATATACCAGTAGAGGATGTGATTTCTCAGATTGATGTAGCCCTCAGAGGCATAGGACACATCCATGCGGATGTAGCAAGAGCCGAAATAGCCACTATTCTTAAGAATGCTAAGAAACCCACTAGTAACATTAGCAAAAACGAACGCTCTGAACTCGCGGACCTAAAAAAGAGAGATGATATAGTCATCCTCTCGGCAGACAAGGGCAATGCCACGGTCATCATGCATAAAGATTCATACAACATCAAAATCCTGGACCTACTTAATGATGGGAGTTACTCCAAAATTAAAAACTATCCTACTAACAGCCTAACGACAAAAACTAACAAAATCATCACGAGTTCGACTTCCCTAATCGAACCAACTGAACGTCCCTCTCTAAAACCATCGGCGGCAAGACCTCCCAGACTCTATGGTCTTCCCAAGATCCATAAAGAAGGCACCCCGCTACGACACATCGTGTTGACGATCAACTCTCCTACCTACAAACTAGCCCGGTTTCTATCAGATACTCTGCTTCCCTTCACAGGCAAGACCTCTTAGGCAGTACTCAACTCAACCCAATTAGTCTTTATGGTCAAGGACATGGTACTATCTCCTGATGACATCCTCGTCAGTTTTGATGTAGTATCTCTGTTTACCAAAGTCCCAGTGCCTGACGCCCTAACAATAATTGAGGACTTGGTCCAACATGGATTGAATTTGGATGTACCTGCGCTAGTTAGGCATTGCCTCACCAACACTTATTTTACCTGGAATGGCACCTTCTACAAACAGAATGAGGGTACCCCTATGGGCTCCCCCTTGTCACCAGTGATAGCCAACATGTTCATGGAAAAGTTTGAATCAGACGCCATCCAGACATCCACCCTACGTCCTTCCCTGTGGAAGAGGTATGTGGATGACAATTTCGTTATTTGGCCACATGGCCTCCCAGCATTGAACCACTTCTTGGACCACATCAATTCCAGACACCCATCCATCAGATTCACCATGGAAGTGGAGAAAGATGGTAAACTACCATTCTTAGATATTCTGTTTGAGAGGAGACCTGATGGATCCTTGGGACATTCTGTCTACAGGAAAGCCACCCACACAGATTCCTACTTGAAACCCGATTCCCACCACCACCCATCTCAAAAGAATTCTCTCATCAAAACACTATACCACAGAGCTCATGGCATTTCTGACCAACACCACCTGGCCAGTGAATTAAGACATGTACATCGGGCCCTTAGGATGAACGGATACTCTGTCCGCACCATCCGCCAAGCTGTTTCTCCCACCATACAGAAACAGCCACATGAAACTCCGATCAAAACTATTACATTGCCATACATAGCAGGCGTGACCAAAAAGATCTCCAAAATTCTAAACAAACATAAGATCCAAGTCCGATTCAGTACAGTGCATAAAATGTGTGATCTGATTCCATCTGTGAAGGATGTCGTTCCTGACTTACAGTACCCTGGAGTCTACAAACTGAGTTGCAGTTGTGGTGATTGCTACATTGGAGAAACGAAACGTCATGTCTCTGATCGTGTCCGCGAGCACAAGTCAGATCTGAAACACGGCAGAACCGAGTCTTCCGCCGTTGCCGATCATTGCTACAACTCTGTGGGCTCTCATGAAATTGTCTTTTCCGAGACCAAGGTGCTCTGCAAACCTCCTGGCTACCATCAAAGGTTTGTACACGAAGCCATACAAATATACAAACACAGATATAATTTCAACTGTGATGATGGGTACAAACTGAGTAATCATTGGAAAGATGTTATTAACCATGCAAAAAAGATTTAACTACACATATTTGGACCATCTTAATTGACAGACAACTATTCTTTAGTTACTGCACAGTTTACTGATAGACAGCCAGTTTTGTTTTATCATGTTTAGCTTCTTTTTTCACAGGCTGGTTTCCTGCTATAAGTTTTACCCACCAAGCAACATAGCAGGAGGCTGTTTCTTCCTGACCTACTTTTTTGCTTTTACCTTCTACATGGCAGGGGCTCGGTCCCATTAGCAGCAGTTGCACTTTAACAACTCTGCCCCCCCCCCCCCCCCCTCTCAGCCAGTCTACATAACAAAGGCTCAGTCCTTTGTTATGTAGACTAGCCGTAGTTTCAGCCGCACCAACCTTACCATAATAATAAAAAGGGGGCCTACCTTGGCTCCTCCCACCCTCAACCAGTATATATACAAGGACTGTTTTCTTGGAATTTCTCTTACTTGATACAGCTATCGTGCTGTGACGGTTCCACCTGAAGACGGAAGCTTGTGTTGCCTCCGAAACGTCGTGATTTTTTTTTACTTTTATTAATTAAATTTTTTTACCTACGTGACTTTACCGAAAAAACCCAAGAATAACAATGAGCAGATTACATGTCAGCTAAAACGCAGCAAATTGGCTCAGTAGGGAGTAGAGGTGAAGCATCTGCCAGTCATCTCAGTCAAGTTAACCCATGGCAATTGGGTCTATACCATGACTCCTGCCAGAGGGCCTCTGACACTTCACATGGCCTCAAAGTACACCTAGCCTGGCACAAGTGCAGTGGTGATGTCACCTCCACTTAGTGGCGAAAGGTAGTTATTGTTGTTGTTTAACACATGTAGGGGTCGGTGGCCAGCACCACACCCTTTGTCTCTCAAGTGGCAGTGTTCACACAACGTGCCAGGCATTCATTTGAGGCTAAGTCGACATAGGGGAGGCCCAGGTGTTGGTGGCCATGAGCGCGAAATTAACTTGGATTTCCGGGTTTGTAGCACAGCGCGCTAACCAATGTGCCACACATGTACACACTCTCCCCCCCTCTGAAGCTCTCTCTCGCGCTCTCACGCTCTCTCACGCTCTCTCACCACGTGCTCCGAGAAGACCCCTTCGTCGAAATCCAGGAGCCCCGTGTGCAGCTGCGTCGCCTTCTCCTGTCCGATGGTGGCTGCCAGCACCAGGAACTGCGAGTCCATCGCTGCTTCCCGTGTCTCCTTCACTGCAAAGGCACAAAGCCTACTGAGGCTGCCGGGGCAAGTGCTGCCAGTATGCACCAACGAAAGCAGGCATGGCTTGCCTCTCGACAACTGGTAGATCACCAGCATCGATTGAAGCGAGCTTTACTCTGTTGATGAGACAATGAATGTCTAAACTGGCTTAAATTTTGGCTTATACTGAATCAATGCTGCTGAAATGTGGCTGATGGGATGAAAACAAATACTTGTGTATAGATGGATAAATGAAGGAGATGTAGTGTCTGCAAATCCATTCTGCTCAACTTCTCCACAAGAACGCCTGTGAACGTCATGTTATGAGGGCGTTAGTGTGGCCAGAACTACGCCCGGCCACCTTCATCAACCAAGAGCACTAACTACTGAGCCACCATTCTCCACACACACAACAGCCGCCAATCTCCACGAAGTGGCGGTGATGTCACCACAGCACTTGTGCCAGACCAGGTGCACCACCTATGCCCCCTGCTGTGCCAATTTCCTGCATTTAAGCCACCCAGCGCTCCACTCGTTTTCGTGAGCGCTCATCTGCCCTCCACTGTTGTTGGAGGGCGACTACCTCCAACTGCTCGGTAGTGTCCTTCACGAACCTCCTCTAACGAGGAGGAACATCAGTCCATCTCTTCTCGAGCCCATGCCATGTCAAATCATCTCCCTCTGTCCAATTAAACATAAGCTGCTTGGACATCCGGTGGCAGGGCATGTGGGCTGCATAACCCAGCCAACGCAGCCTTGCTTGCCGGAGGAGCTTACTGATGGACTGTGTCTTGATCTTTTCAGCCTGAATGTTTCTAACTGGCACAAATGTTCCATTTGAGGGCTCCACGTCTCACAAGCATATAGAAGGGAGGGCATCACTGTGGTCGAGAAGACCTGAAGCTTAGTATGGAGCGATAGGTCAGGAAACTTCCACACAGCGTTACGCAGCTGATGAAAAAATAATGCCGCTCAACTGATTTGGAATGAAACCTATATTGCTAAAGTGGAGATGGTAATAAACACACTGCCCAGGTACAAACACTTCTCCACTCTCTCCACAACTGCCCCATCACTCATGAGGAGCGGAAGAGGTGGAGTATTTGATGACATAAAATACCCACGCAGGTGCTTTGTTTGTGGAATTGATAGTAAGCCCCATCTTTTAGAAGCACACTCCAGCCAAAGCCATAGCATTTCCAACTACACAGAGCGAGTAGAAATCTCTTGACCACAGCCGGCCATCAATCAGCCTCGCACTGTATCTGCACAAGATGGAAATTCCTCTGGTACAACCATGGAAAGCATCTCAAACTACGTGATCAAAGAAGATTATTTAAAAATGTAGGGGCCAGAGGACATCCCTGTCGCACCACAAGGTGAACAGGGAATGGCTCCGACTCCTGGCCACGTAGCTTTACCCAGGCCTGCCCACCATCATGAAGGTCCTTAATAATTGTGAGGAGTCAGGGACTCCGAAGGCACAAATAATAACCCAGAGCCCTGGTCTATTTATGGTATCATAGGTATTAACCAGGTCAATGAAGCAGAGATATAGGTCATGTGTAAGTTTTGTACACCTCTGCTGTAGCAGGACAGAGAATATATTGTCTGTGAAGGAGCGGCCTGGTCTGAAACCACATTGGGCCTCCACAAACCTCTCCTCAGTTTGCCTGGCAAGGTGGTGTTTGATTATAATTATCCTTGCCAGGATATTTACTGGCAATATCCACAAATACAAACAAAGACATACAACAAGGTAGTAGGCATAAAGAGCGTAAGACAGATGTACAAGTGAGTGGACATGACACTCACCACTACGGAAGAGTTTCTGACTCTGTTGAAGAGCGGTCGCGAGTCCTTCGTTGTCTGGCTGAATGAGCTCCTCTCGGTCCTCTGCACACGCCAACGCAGAGTAACGCACACGGTTATAAACACACACAATCAGATACACAACAACAGCCACCATTCACCACAAAGTGGCAATGACATCACCACAGAGCTTGTGCCAGGCTAGATGCATTTTGAGGCCACGTGAACTGGCAAAGGCTCAACTGACAGAAAGTCATGAGACAGAACCAGGTGTCATGGGTTGACTGAGATGACGACCGTATTTTCCCCCATATAACCCGCAGACGCATATATCCCGCAAAAATAGCGTTTTGTGTAAAACAAATTTCAGATAGCCCGCACCTCCATATACCCCGCATGCGAATAGTTCATATATTTAACGTCGTTACCGCAGCTTAATTCCATCATATTAATATGAAGTTTACATTTGTAATACATTCCTCTATCAATTGTTAACATTAAAAGCACAAAGAAAACAAACTAACCGGAAACGAGTGACCTTTAAACAGTAAATAAGTAACAAAAGTAAATATCCAATAAATAAGTAACACATAACTGGTAGATAAGTACAGTTTTATCACTGGTAGATTGCGCACTGCGCAGATAATAGCGGAACTACGGTAACTCCGTTGCCCCCCCCCCACCTCTCTCCCCCAGCTGCCCCACCCCCCAACCCCCACCTCTCTTCCCAGCTCTCCCGTCGCCGGTAAACAGTGCGCGCACTTCAAACATTGTCGTTTAATTGTACAATTGATTTAAAACGTGATAACATGTGCAATTTTAGTGCGAGTGGTTTATTCAGCAGTGCTTTAGGCAAAGGTAAGTGTTACTTAGTAGATAGTCCTACCATGAAAAAATTAAACGAGTCATGACATGTCACACGTGCAAAATATTTTTGGGATAGCCCGCATCTCCATATACCCCGCAGGGTCTTGTTTTGTTTGTAAAAAGTGGTATACCCCGCGGGTTATATGCGGGAAAATACGGTAACCCTAATTTAAGGGCAACTGTCTCCAACTGCCAAGTAGCATCCTTCACGAACCTCCTCCAGAGGCCCATCTTGACTCCACTAGTATCAGTTGTCCGTTCGGTGCTCAGCGAGACGGTTACTGCAGACATGCCGTAGTGAGTTCCAATAATCGAGCCTTGTCGATACGATGCTACATGCCACTGTGTTGGCTCTGTCACGACTCAATCGTGGCCGAATGTGTCATAGAACGCCGATATGAAAATTGCTGCACCTGACTATATTTTGCACGTGGTGATCAAACGACATTCTCGTCGAGTAAGGTGCCGAGGCTCTTTAGAGGAGTATAAAACTGAATCCTGGAGTCTACGACCTGGTCACCGTGTTGTCCATATGAGTGGACTCACACCCAGGTCACCGTGTTGTGAGTGTGAGTGAACTCACACCCTGGTCACCACCGTGTTGACCGAGTGTGAATGGATTCGCACCCTGGAGGCTGTGCATGAGCATGCGGTACTTGTGTCGCAGCTGCTGCCTCTCCCTGTTCACTTCTATGTTGCGATTGTAGCCCTCCCAATCTTCATCCTCTCCTCTCTCCTCATCGTCGTCCTCTTCACGATTCGTCGCCATCGCCTCCTCCCCCTCCTCCCTCTGCTGTCTCAAACGTGACATCTGTCAACGATGGAAATAACAAGGTTAGAGGTAAGACAACCTAAGTCAAACCCAGTCTATATCCAACCCAGCCTTATCCCTAGACCTATCTCCAACCCAGACTAACTTTAACTGCAGCCTATCTCTAACTCAGTGTACCCCTAATCCAGTGTACCCCTAACCCAGTATAACTCTAGCCTAGTCAAACTCGAACCCTGCCTATCTCTAACCCAGCCAATCTATAACCTGGCCCAACTCTAACATGGCCTCACCATAACCTGGTCTATCTCTAAGCAGACCAATCCTTAACCTGGCCAAATATAAGCTCGTCAATCTCTAATTTGGACTCTCACACAGCTTATCTCAAACCCAGTCTATCTCTAACCCAATTATTTGGTGATGCTTTATTGACAGTGGTGCACAATCACAAAAACTCGACACATTCATCAATAACACTGTCAATAAAACATTTACTATAAAAATTGTGTTTTGGGCAATGGCTTTTTATTCAGCACAAACAGGGGCCGGAGAGGTGGAGGTGACAATACGAGTTGGAGATTGAACTTTACACCAATAGGGCCTGGTGAGAATAAAATGTATAGTGTTTTCTGATGACCAGATTCCAAATAGGCATATGAATAGTTACATAATAGCAAATCCTTAAACATTGTAAAACGAATTTAGATTGAAAGTTAAATTGTAAAATGTTGCTGGAACAATGCATTGTGGGATGATGTATTCTTGTCAGCACAGGGCACAATCTACTTGCATTCCACGGCCCAAACGCCATCTCAATTAAAGGAACTTACTTGCCCTACATCCTTGAGAAATAAAATGAGGTACACAGTCTGCTGTCCTATAACGCCTGTTATAATGCGAATTGGAAATAACACGATTCATGCATAAGGGAATACGTTTTTTATCACTATAATGCAAATTGAATATAACGGAATTGAATAAACAGAACTACGTGGCATTAGTAGGAATAAGCGGTTGTACGGCTGCCTCGGCGTAGCATCATCACACAAGGTGGGATGCTGCTGGATGTTTCTAGATGCTACCCATGTGCTTCAGTCTTTGTTCGGCCTGCATACGCATCTCACGTGTTATCGCGGTGTTTTTCAGGAACGCAACTATCGTGTCATAGAACAGACTGTATATGAAATTAAAATAAATTTTAAAAGAGAGTTGTGCCTATCTACCTCTAAACCAATCTATCCCTAAGTCTATTGTCACATACATGGAAATTAAATTCACTGGGAGGATCTATGGTGATGCAGAGTACATTTTTGTATTGGTATTGGGACACCGAGAAAGTTGGCAATTTTTCAGCACAATATTTAATATTAAAGCGGAATACAGTAAGTGTTTAACGCGGTAAATGTGTTCCTGAAAAGTGCCACGTTAAGCGAAAAATGTGTGAAATGAAAATAATTTCCCCATAAATAAGGAAACGATAAAGTTCGGCGAAATGCGATGTAGTACACACACGCAGTGAGGTTGTCAGACACTTGACAGAGGGAAAACCATTCTGGTATCACTCCGCGTACTCTTATCACTGTCCCGCTCAGCCGCGCAAATAAGGAAAGTTCGTCGTCGGCCACTCGAAAACCGCGTGGTAACAGTGCGCTCAGTGGCGTTATAACGGTGCAAAAGCAGTGGTGTAGTCACTACATTATCAGTGGTGTAGTCACTACATTATCAGTGGTGTAGTCACTACATCATCAGTGGTCTAGTCACTACATTATCAGTGGTGTAGTAACGATATTATCAGCTCAGGGGGTTGCGGCAATCGGTCAGGTGGGTCCCCAATATTTGATTTGTCTCACACGGTCGCACCGAGGCTATGATATAACACGGCTTCTCTTGCCTCGTCACATCGTCGTGTCGCTCACGGTCTCGAACATATAACGCCGTGGGGCGCTCTGTCTTCACAAAATGCAGCCACGGCAGCTTCGTAGTCACACCCCCTTTACAATATTACATTACTGCTCAAATTAAATATAAATGTGGAACGTAAATGAAATAATTTTCACAAAAAAAGTTTAAATTGCGCATTAAATAAGTGTGAAATCTTGACTTAAAGCTTTCGTGACTGCAGGAATTCATATTATTTGGGTCTTTCGGTAAAGTGACGTAGATAGGTTCAAATAAAAAAAAATCTACGTCATCCTGCTTGTGTTGTGATCGAAACGTCGTAGATTTTTTGTTATTTTCTTTTAACCTATCTACGTTACTTTACCGAAAGAACCAAAGAATATAAATAAGTGTTGATCTTTTTACAATGTTGTTGAAAACATCTCTCGTGGTGGTTGTCAAGGGGGACCCAACTCGTAGCTTTGGCCACCAAGGAGGGGGCGCATTCCGCGTTTGCGAAGTGTTCTCGAATGGAATACCGCGTTATAGCGAAACCGCGCTCTAGTGTGAACACCACCACGCGTTAACGTGTGCACGTGGCACCGGTATCACCGGAGGGCGCCAAGAGTCCAAGTTTGTCTCTCCCTGAAGACAACCCTCATGACCTTTGCTTGATCTCGTGTAAAACAAAGATCCCCCGTATAGCCTTAACATACTGTTGTAGGAAGTGCTGTAAGCGAGCACCTATGAAAGCCGGCACGGCACACGAGGGGGGGTGGATGGCCGAGACCACGACCGGCCGCCTTTGTCTTCCCAGTGGCGATATTTACACATCGCAGCAGGTACTCATTTCAGGGTCAGTCGACCTAAGGGAGGCCCACGGGCAGTTCAGGCAATCGTCACTGGTGTAAGCCGTGAGCGGGAATTGACCTCGGGTCCTACGCCATGAATATTTACATAGATTTAGTCAGTTAACACTGAGGCATATAACCATGTCCGTATCTAATTGAGCAATAGCTTGATATCCCTTTAAATCGTAGCATATTATGCTTTCTGCCCTGCTCATACGAGACGTCTCAGCCGATGTCTCCTCTACTCCCATCTCCGAGTCGCTGTTTACATCGACGGGGTACAGTAATTGCATTATCCCCTCCTCCAACACGTGCCCCCCCCCCCTTCCATGTCTGAACATTTCAAACAATGAAAGCAAATCAACACGGATACCAGCCAGTATTAGATGTATATTATAAACGCCACTTCAAACACATCCTGCGAAGAAGACCAAACCAAGATTCGCCAAGCGAGAAGCTGCAGTGGCGAGCCGCCCCCCCCCCCCACGGATCGCCGCTGCGTTCGGGCCTGTGTCTGGAGGTCGGACACAACCCGCACGACTCCTCGCTCGATGCGCTCTCACACAGCGGGGCAATGCGCATCGAGCAGCGCGACACTCTGACACCGGCACCGCTCTTCCCCGGCTCCCTAGAGGTCTGTGGAGCATCCTACCACAGTGCCACCAAATATCTGCAGACACATTGCGCGAACTTGCAAATGATTCGCGCGTTTTCTTGCCCGCCCATCGTGAACCAAGACCTCAACAATGTTCCTCGCCACCGACTCCCGATCCCTCTGCCTGGGGTCGCGCTGCTGCCGCTGCTGCGGCTGTCGCCATCCTAGAATGTCACCCAGAACGCCGGCGGACGGAGCCAAAGCCACGCGGAAACGTCCGGACAATCAACGCGGCATTCGAGACCAAAGCACCACCACCGGCACCACCGGCACCCCCGGCGTTCGCGTGATCCTCCTCGTAGACGCCGATGGTGGAACCGTGCCCCGCATCGGGACACCAGCGGCCGGGCCGATGCGCTCACCTCCTTCAGGAGCGACCGCCGAGAGCGCCGCGCTGCTCGCCACCTGCCGACCTCCCCCCGTGCCGCGCAGAGAACAAGTCGCGCGCTGATGACGTCACCTCGCTCTCCTCACCCAACATGGCCGCGGGGGTCACCGACAACGCCATTAGGCCACGGCCGCTCGCACGTGGATTGGGGGGCACCGCTGGGGCGTCTGGTTAGGGGGCACCGCTGGGGCGTCTGGTTAGGGGGCACCGCTGGGGCGTCTGGTTAGGGGGCACCGCTGGGGCGTCTGGTTAGGAGGCACCGCTGGTGCGTCTGTATGGCGGGCATATCTGGCGCATCTGCCAGTCACCTCAGGCAATCAACTAATGGCACCTGCTGGCTGTCCTGCGACCTCCTGTCAGCAAGCATTCGACACTTAACATGGCCTCAGAGAGCACCTAGTCTGGCACAAGTGCCGTGGTGACGTCACCACCACTTCGTGACCGCCCTAGGTACTCGACTGTGCCTGGGGCGCCACTAGGGAGACAAAGGTGGTCGAGCGTGGTGCTGACCATCTCATGTTCTGTCCCGGCCTTCATAGGTGATCGATAACAGCATTTGGCCCAAAAGTCGATTTCGACTGTACGGGGATCTTTGCCTTTGTGGGTCAATAGGTTTGTAACCATCGAATTATATCGACGGGATCGCGTATCAATATGTTTATGAAGGGGTCCATTACTATAATTTGCCATTAATGCTGGTTCAATCTCCCGGCGCGGTAGTTTAAACATCGGAGCGAGTTTATCAACTCCGCCCCTTTCCGTTATCCACCCAGCAGCGGTATGAATGGGTTCAGTCGACGTGCAGGTCACTGCGTGTGGTGGGGTACAGGGCGGGTATTACTGGTAGGAACCTCCTGGTTACAGCAGCCCATAGGGGATTATTGTGAAGGGAGGGGCTGGGTGGGGAGGGAGGGGCTGGGTGGGGAGGGAGGGAGGGGCTGGGAGGGGAGGGGCTGGGTGGGGAGAGGCTGGGTGAGGGGTGGGACTGGGTGGGGAGGGGCTGGTCACCCCGTGGTGCCCTTATAAAACTCAACGTTTAACCTACTAACGCCGGCTTGGGCCCGCTCTCACAGTCGGCTATATTTGTAGAATACACCACGCCGCCGTTGACCCTGGCCATTGGCCGAGCAACCCAACGTTCCTACCAGCTCCCGCAGGAATGTGTTCTCCATCTCTTTCAAGATATCTCACCAGAATGGGAAAGTCGGCCGAATCCCTCTAGAGCTCCCTCTAGTGGGAGCTCGGACCGTCGACACGAAAATGGAGACGTTCATTCGGCAGTAGAGAGAAACTGGCGCATCGTAATTGACATCATTAATGAACCATGAGTTGCACACACGCACACTCCAGACCGGTTTGGACATTCGTTCTAAAATCAGCAGTCAACGACCACCTCCTCACGACTTCAACTCAACACACATCAAATAACATCGTCAGCTCACCACTTCATGAACCCATGATAAATATATTATCTAATTCACCAATAAATACCGTATATTCACAATATTGCAATAACCAACTTCCTTACCAAGTCAACTCCTCATCCACTTACCACCTCTTCACAGAACTCTCAGACATCCGCAAAAGCCAAGTATTGTTAAAAACAGCTCCCGGAGTAAATAGAAATCCGCGACAGTTACGTGGATGTTTTACAACTGAGATCAGGTTCCCTAGAAACCGTGGAAGCCGCATGGTTGTACTGGCTATACGGTTTAGATGGAACTGATATAAATCCTCGGCGGCCCCGTGAAATCCGTGAGAGCGGCGTAAAATTCCATATAGTAAATATCAATATAGGAACTGCTCGAGGAAAGCCTCCCCACGACTGATGGCCACGAGGATTGTTTGACAATACTTCACCAAGCGGGTCAGTGCGGGTTGATAAAGATATCACTCGCTAGAATAAAAATGTTAGCTGTGGTTTGGAGCCCAATTCGGATTGCCGTTTCTCCGCAGCTATAGGTTATAGTTTTGCCTGGCCTATATTATAATTCCGTAGAAGCCATGTAACGCATAAAATGACTACTGAATCATTAACATTGGACCGTGAAGTCTAAAAATGCGGAACAGCGACGTTTCCATAGTCAATACGGGATCATGTAGTCTAGAAATTCGTGACAGCCAGGTAACATGGCCGTGGGTTATGCACTTGATAAAACTATATAAATCTGAGCAGCCCGGGCATTACGGTGAATACAGCACCAGGATTAACCAGTAGAAATGTGGACGCCAAGCTGACTCAGCCATCGATAATATATAAATATGGATTACAGCGCTGGCTTGTCAAAAATCCGTGGCAGACACTTAAACGATGTGCGGTATAAAGTCCACAGTTGACGTACAAATTGGATTAGTAGAGATTTGCGGAAGCCTTCAGAGACTGCCCCCTCCCCCCACAGGGCGATGGGCGAGGGGGTTCTGCCCTGTGTCTTTGTGTGCCAGTCTGTGTGTGAGTCTTCGTCTGTTAGTCTTGTTTGTCTTTGTTTCTATGGCTCTATAGGCCTCGGCAAGGTAAGGCAAAAGGTAAAAACAACGAGCCTACCTTTACCCTACCTTTTACCTTACCACAATACAATCACTCTATCCTTACCTTTTACCCTTTAGCAAGGTAAGGTAAAAGGTCAATAGCAACGAGCCTACCTTTTTACCCTACCTTTTACCCTTACCCCATACAAATTACCCGATTACAGGGTAATTACTGGGGTACTACACATGAAAAAGGTTTATAACAGGTAAATGCTAGGTAGAGCGCATTATTAATTCATCTATATATATAAAAGGGAAATATGTGAATGTGTGTCTGTTCGAAATGTTTAGCATACTTCCCAACATGCAACAAACTTGAAATTTGGCATGTGTACTCTTAGTTCTTTCGGTAAAGTCACGTAGGTAAAAAAGATGAAATTAAAATTAATAAAAAATAAAACAATAAGATCACGACGTTTCGGAGGCAACACAAGTCTCTGTCATCAGGTGGGACCGTCACAGCCAGATTTGCTGCATCAAGGTGCATCAAGGTGATGCAGCAAATCTGGCTGTTATTTGGTGGGGGGGGGGGGGGCGCAATTATGGATATATTTGCACGGCAAGTGAGCGGTGACGTCACATCTGTCACATCTGTCACATCTGTGACGTCACCCGCATGCGGCAGCGTCACGCAGTGTGCCTGCTGACGTCATGCATCCGCCCCACCATTCGCGTAGGCTGTGTATTAATCCAAGACAAGAATCCAAATTTCGAGCAAAGCCGGATAGTAAGGCTAGTATAGAATACTCTCGATGATTCCAATTTTAAATGGCGGCCACAGACTGCGCCACAGAGCTTTTCGCGAGTGGTAAACAAGGTATTTACCGGGTAATACTTCGCGCTACCTTTACCCTACCGGGTAATTCTTCCACGCTACCTTTACCCTACCCTTTTCCTTACCCCTTGGCATGTCGAGATTCCAAGAACACAGGATGAGATGTTACTATCCTTTGTGTAAGCACTTCCAAGAGTTCATGAACAGTGAGCCTGGTGAAATTTGGGGAGCGCATCGTCAGTAGTGTACCTTTGGTTCCTAGGGTGTTTCGGTCTTTCACACTATACACCCTCCCCAAAGGCGGCCAGCGACAGGGTGATCAATCCTACGCTTGCGTCTCATTCCCAATTAGTCATAGGAGTTGCCTTGTTGTTGATAGCCAACATCCCATGGGACTATGCATGGCAGGGGCGTCCTCCTCCCTGAGTCAAGCATTGTTGACCACATACCTCCTGGCCCTCTCACTTCGGGGCCCAGCTAGGGTCTTTCCTCTTCATCCAGAGTCACTGACTGCTGCCTTCTGCCGCCTCCGATACGGCTCTGATTGCCGAACGCTGGCTCTGGCCCTTAATTCCCAGGTCTCTAAGCAGTCTGGTTGTAGATGTTGCCACAAAACCTCTGCAGCCCACCTCCACTGGTGGGACTTCGGTGTTCCAGCCATGATGCCGTGCTTCGGCAGCTAGATCGGCATAGCGCAGATGTTTTCGCTCATAAGCCTCATCTACTGAGTCCTCCCAGGGTACTGTGAGCTCAATGATGAAGACCTTCTTGAGCGAACGGGACCAGAGCACCATGTCAGGTCTTAGGGTGGTGGTTGCGATCTCCGGAGGAAACACAAGTTGCCGGCCAATGTCAGCTAGCATTTTCCAGTCGCGGGCCAAGCACAGCTGGTCTCGCTCTAATGGTGTAGAGCCGCTCTTCGGTGGTTTAGCCCCTTCGCGGACAAAGGTCGTCCGTAAGGGGTGTGATGCTGCTGGGGGTGGTAGGGAGTTGGTGGCAGCTCGCTTGTCCTCCAGGGCGGATACAAGGTTTTTAAGGACTTGGTTGTGACGCCAAGTGTAGGGGTGAGGCTTGTTTTACACCCTGTGAGAATGTGCCTGAGGTTGGCTGGCATGGAACAGAGGGCACAGTCCGGATCTTCACCATACCATTGGTGAAGATTAACTGGTGTTGGAAGGACGTCATATTTTGTTCTGATGGAAAAGCTCAACCGCCTCGCTTCCATGGCCCACAGATCCTTCCAGCTGATCTTCCTCTTCTCCACACTGTCCCATCGAGTCCACTGTCCCTGTTTGGCAAGAGAGACTGCCTTGGCCCACCTTGCAGCCTCCTCCTGATGGCGTACTTCCTGCACTACCATCTTCCGCCGCTCTGGTGCAGTGGCCTTACTCCAAGCAGCGCGGCTAGTTAGCCCAAGGCCTCCTCTCCCTTGCTGAACATGTCCCACAATGTCAGCATGTCTGAGGGCTGCTGTTGCCTCCTGGACTGCTTTTCCTGGCCTCCATTTGCGCCCAGTTGCCAAGGTCGGCGCGTTGTTGCTCACCACTGGGTCTCGATATTCATTCAGTGTCACCTGGAGCCTGGTTTTTGCACACTTGAATTCCTCTGTTAGACTGGTGAGGGGCAGCTTGAGGACACCATCTCCATAGAGGCCTATGGTGGTAAGGCATCGTGGAACTCCGAGCCACTTCTTTAAGTAGCCTGTGACTCCTCTTTCCATCTTGTCCACTGTTGAGATTGGAACCTCATACACTGCTAGGGGCCACAACACCCAGGGTAGGAGACCAAACTGCAG